TTTTTGGGGGGGGGGGGGGAACACCCCCCCCAAGTCCTCCCCCCTTCTCATCTGCAAAACAACCAGCAGCAGCAAAAGCAAGACTCCTGCGCCGCCGACTACAAGAGGGTTAAAAGTGTAGATTGGATTTCACCCCGGGAAATCTAGCACACGGAGTGAACTTGAATCTTTGGCTATTTAAGGAGGACTGGGGTTTGTTGTGAAGTTGTGGTGATCCAGGGCAGAGCCCCGTCCTGATTGATTTCATCTTCCTTGAGTCTCAGATGACTGTAAAATGAATAGATGAAATTATTCCTTTTTGAGGCTTTTCTTAGGGGCTCTCCGGGCAGCGTGTTCTCAAAGCGAAGTCATGATGTATTCTCCAATCTGTCTCACTCAGGTATAGAAGCGTTTTTATTTATTTATTTATTTATTTATTTACTTTCACATGATTTTTATTTTTATATGTGAGTTGTTAATGAGTCATTGCTAGTAGTTGTAACGGGTTAAAGCACAGTTGTAACTGCTTGTCACAGCCAAACTCCTCTCGCAGAAGAGAACAGTAGAGAATAAACTGTACCAGGCCATTGTTTTGGGGATATTCATTCAAAGTGTCACCCATAGACAAATACTGTTAATTGTTAGTGCATAAAAAGTCAAAGGTTAACAACGTGGAAATGAGCAAATTACGCTAAAAAGCAGATCTGATTTGATTGAAAAACACTGTTCTGCTGTATTTTCATCCTGTCAGTTTATTCACTCCAATTACAGGGTTTAAAGAAAAAGTGTTATTTCTGACAAAAATAAACATTATCTGATGCAGCATAATACTTCCCTACGTTTAATAATATATAGTCTACCAACAGTGTGAAGATTATTTTAGTGGGGATGACCAAACTATGGGATAATTTCTTATGTGTAGGTTACCTAGGATTGTGATTCTTTTTTTTCTTGACTAATTTTGATGTTTATAAATCAGCATGCCTCATCAAAAGCAAAAACATCTGGCTGTTTATTAAAAGCAGTAGCAGTGTATGCTGCATGGAAAACTACGGAGAATGTTCGGACAAAGCAAGGAATATTGTTTCAGATGGGGCAGTGCGGATATGGAGAGTAGTTTAGCAATGCCCGTGGGTTTCTGAAGCTTTTCAGAACCTTCTGCCGTGACGGGAGCCAAGTGGGGATCTTGTTCTTTTAAAACTCATTTTGAGACATTAGTGGTATAGGAAGTAACCCTCCAGAAGTTAAGTGCTCGTGGAACATATTTGTCATTACTGCTTTAATAAGAAATAAATATCTTTATATTGGAGCATATTCAGAATAGTAAATTATATCTGTAAAGCTATGGGATAGTTCTCAGAAGCTTTTGTACAAGCCTGTCTTGGGAGGATGTGATGTAAACCGATTAAGCGATAGCTGCTTGCTGCCACATTTGTGTAGCAAATAGCTAAAGAAAATGTGTGGAAATAAGTCTAGTGTTGTATTAAACAGCTAATAATGCACTTCATAGTTTCATAGTGAACAAATAATTATTTCAGTTATTTGACGATTAAAAAGCATTGTGGTTCAAAAGGGCTGAAGCATTCATAAATTGTGAATGAAGATGGAAACAATAAGGTTTATTTAGTGATTGGTTACAGTCTGGTAGCTTTTTAGGTGACCCTTTTTATTGTTTGTTTTGTTTAGCATCTAAATTATTAGGTATAGATATTTTCAGCAATTAAATGTGAACTTCACTGGAACAAAATTGGAAATTGAAATAGTACTTCAAAAGAAAAAAGTAAAATTAGTATATATATAGATTGCACTTTGTGTAAGAGAGATACACATGTTTACAGGTACATACACAGGAATTACTTCTGCTGGAGTCCATGATTAGTTTAAAAAAAATTAAAAATAAAACTCCATATACTGTCCTTTCTGTGAAATTATTGACAACCAATGAGACCTCTGCACATGAACATATATTGGAGAGTAATACAAAGGAAACAAAGTAGATTTTACATTGAAAATAACAAACCCTAACTTCCACCTGTAATACAGCATATAAGAATTTTTGATATTTAGTGCTCTAATGATATTTTTCCCCATGTGTTTGCTTTCTGGACTTTTTCCCCAAGAGATGTAATAAAGCCCATCACTTTTACTAAATATATTTTAAAATGCCACTATTTAAGTTTATATAAAAACATAATTCATTGAATTTCTACAAGCATGAATTAAACTTTTTTTTTGCCTTTTTGTGTTTAAAAACTTTTATATATTGTTTTCCAATCATGCTATATCATGTGCCATGTAGAAGTGGCTCATCTTTAGCAATGAATATATGGAACACCATTGCAGCAATTTTGATTTCCTTTAATTTGTAAACTTTCTCTTCTGCTCTGGATGATTAAAGGATTTATTTGGTCATCTCTTCTTTCCCTGATTTTAAAGATTAAGATTATAGGGTAAATGAGAACTTATACTTGGTCTTTGTCTTAGTTATTTAAAGTAAAAAGTTGATTAATCTTAAACTGTAATTGAGTTAAATCCAAACTGTCAGAGTTGTATCTATTTTTTTTTTCTCTGTCCATAACATGCCTCAGATACACATTACTACACTCAAAGTGTGCTCAAGAAATGTTTTGGTAAAAATTTCTAACACAGATCAAAATAGAATACCTGATTGAACAAAGGTCCTTGCAAAATCAGTAGTTTAGTTTGTGTAGAGACAATTTTGTAGCAACTCTTAAACAGATCTAAAAGTATGTTTTTTAAGCCAGTCTTTGGCAGTTGGGAATGTTACCTGTTATCATTACAGTAAAAGTTTCGTGGGTATGAAATAACTGCAAGAAAGAATGAAAACTTACCAAATACAACTAAACTTCTTTTTTCCCCCCTCCCCTCTTCCTTGTTCTGTTCTCCCCCATGTACCCCCTTCCCCCTATTTTGAAATGAATATAAACTCCATTTACTTCTGCTGAAGCATGATAGATGCAGTTGCTGCATGCCTTTGTGTTCAGTCCCTTGTGATATTTTTAGCATGGTTTATTTTTATATCACAGTGGTCCAGGAATCTTAAAACATGTTGTAATTTTCTTTCCTCCCTATAATGTGTTGTTTATTTATGGGTAGTGAAAATATGTGCAGTGAAATTGAGAATGCAAGGTTTCCTATATTTAATTGCTAGACTTCTGTCTTATTTATTGTATGGTTCTTAATTCAAACTTGGATGAATTGATACAAAGTTTGGAAAGGTGGAAGGAAGAAGGGATTTGTTTCCCTCTTAACTATTACAAAAAGAAAACCTGACCCATCATTATTATACCACAATTAGAGTATAGGTATTTTTCATTTATTTGCAAGCCATATACATATTGGAAAGTAACTTCCATTTTAATTTAAATTGTCAGTGCATGCTGATTCACCAGAGTCATTTAAGACATTTGAAAACTTTACCTGCATAAATCACTTAATTGAAAAAGCAATTATGGCACATGAGTAAGTGCCACATAAAAATAATTGTTTCAATATTAACTCTACAAATATCAGGGGAAAATGAAATTTAGTAGATAGCTTTTTCAGGAGGTTTAGTGGAGAATGTGTATGACTAATAGCAAATCTCTATTTAGGATCATTTTTATGGGGTGCTTCTTGTCAAGTAATGCTTCATTTGAAAGGAATCCATATGCACAATGAATCTCTCAAAGATATTTGATAACATTGCTTTAGAACAGGACACTGTTGTGCTTCTCCTTCACACTTTTTAACATACACTTTATAGTTTTAGGACTTTATTATGAAGCAAAAGCATGAATATGGTTAATTTTTTTTTTACTTTTTTTTTAAAAAAGCATTCACTCATTAGAAACTGGAATTTAAAAATTGAAACAACTATATAAACTTATTTATGGATTTAGAATACTATCAGTTATTACTGTTACTATACTATATGCAGTACTTACAAGTGAAGCCAATCCAAAATAGTTCATGATGTTATTAGAAAGGAAAACTACATCTTCAGTGTTCTAATAGAGTATAATATTTCCACAGTAATTTTACTGCAACTTTTAAAACTATAAATACTGTAATCTATTTTGGATGTAGGGGAAATTATTGTATGTGGGACAAAAGAATCTTTGCTCCCCAAGCCCTATGCCCCCTCCCCCTTAGCCTCCAGCTGTTAGTTTTAAAAATCTGTAGAAAATCTGTTTTATTCAGTATAAAATGAATTGGAAAGATTTACCAATGGACAGTCTTGCTGTTTGTGTTTAAATTTAATTAACACTTCATTAAAATATATTTATTAAGATGACTTCTGGAGAATAAAAAATAAACTTTCTATGGTAGTTATAATTGAGGGAGGAAGAAGCATGGCATCAGAAAGTGTATGAAGATAGAGAAATCTTATCGTGGGCTGTGGTTAATCTGAGCAGTATTGCCTTCCCACACAAAGAACAGATTGTGGTTTAACTCTTTCCATGGCCTGATTTTTATGTGCCAGTATAGTATCAGGGTTGTTCAAATCTCTGCTGAAAACTACTAATCAGTTTAATTATTGTCTTTGTTAAGCATCATGCTGGAATGTAATCGCTTATGTCCTGAACTGTCTTTTGATATTGGCCCTTTCTTCTCCATAAAGGTTATGTTGGCCTTTATAGATAAGGTTATAGATAAACTGCAGTTTTTCCAGTTGATTTGTGTTTGATTTGAGGGTGTTCAGGGAAGAGAAATGACTAGACCTTGTGGGTTTTTAATGTTCAGGAAACTTTGAATTTTTTTGAAATTTGAAGATTTTAATACTAAATTCCTGACTCAAAGTCCAGTAAGTTTCCACAGTAGCAGTCTGAACTCTCTATAATTATGAGACCATTGGTTATACTCTCATCATTTTTTACCTAATCAGCCTACTGATTTAATGTAACTAATTCCATGTCTATCAGAGTAACTGAAATATTAGTTTAATTGTATCCTTGAATATAATCACATAAAGATTCAGTTTTGGTTTGTACTGTGTCATTCCATATGATGAATGATCTCTGCATGGCATTTAAAACCAAATATGCCTACCCTCAGAAAAAGACACCTATGATCTGTCTTCCAAACCAAAATATAGTAATGTTTGATAAGCACATTGCACTGTTTTAAACAGCACATTAATTCTATTTGTTCTTGTTCAGAGAAAAAGACAGTACTTCTGGGGAAGGCCTATTTAGATATTAACATGGATGTGTAAGAAGATACTTAAAGCAGATAAAATTAATTAATTGCTGTAGGATGTACTTGTAGACAACAATTAAGCTTTCTCTCTTTAATGCAATATATATCGCAACTAGGCAGAAGATATGAACCTTACAGGTGAAGCCATATGACAGGAAGGGATATTTTATAACTGTAATTAAATTGCATGGATTTTACAAAAGCAACGTTTGGCCAATGGTGCACTTGTAGTATCACCCTGCTACAGCATGCAGAAACACATAAAATGGAAAGTCTGTGCAAAGTTGTCATTTTTCATTGTATACCTCAGAGTTCTTTAAGGTGTTCCCAATTATTGCTGTGCTCATGTGATCATTTAACAAATTAATTGACTCTGTTGGAGCTATTGGAAGAACATTAATATAATTTTTGTTCTCAACTTCATAAACTTTTATTTTACAGTTTGAGAGTGGTAGGAGGGGAGCATGCAGAGATGAAAATACACAAGCTTCTGTTCAGCATTTTTATATGACATGCTGTGTCTTTTGCCCACTTTCCCATACTCTATACTGGTTTCTCTAGTTACCACCACTGGAATGGTGCTGTTTCAGTGCTGGAATGTTGGATGTTTGATAAGAAAATGGATCAAGTTCAGTGGCACATGCTCTTTGTGCTACCAGCAGTCTCTTGCTGAGAGCATGCTCCAAAAGCGGGAACTGTGTGGCATGACACTGAGCATGTATATGCTTTGTGTTCCTGTACCACAGAGAAGAGAAATGAACTGTGGTATGCACTTCAGTGTTCTGAACATTTCTGCTTTTATATATATATATTTTAAATCATACAATGTCCTCTTTGTATAATGCTACTTTGCTTGGTGTTGTTCACTCATTATTTACACGTTAGAAACAAAGCATCTCTTTTAAATGATGTAGTCTGTACAGCTTTGTGGGATGAAGTAAGGGGAGGCATATCAAATAATCTTCACATGGCTCTTTCAAAGGCTGAAATGTGGGGAAAAACGTGATGCTCTGAGTAATTTTGTCTGTTGCCTGACAAGGATAATTACATAAAAGATATTATGCAGAAGTTTCTGTAAATTTCAATTCTTTCTTCTCTTCATCTTGGCCTTCACTTTGATATTTTCAGAAACCTATCTCAACATTGCCATGATTGCAAGAACAAACTGACTCCAAGTTTTGTGTATGTTTTTTGTTGTGTTTTCTCCTCTCTCACTCTCTCTCTCTCTCTCTCTCTCTTGCTTTCTCACTCTTTCACTTGCTTCTCCCCCCCCTCTCCCCCTCCCTCCTTCTTCCCTCTCTTTCCACAGGATGAATTTCACCCGTTCATTGAGGCACTTCTTCCACATGTCCGTGCAATTGCCTATACGTGGTTCAACCTTCAGGCTCGAAAACGCAAGTACTTTAAAAAGCATGAGAAACGAATGTCAAAGGACGAGGAAAGAGCAGTCAAGGATGAGCTACTTAGTGAGAAGCCCGAAATTAAGCAGAAGTGGGCATCCAGGCTCCTTGCCAAGCTTCGCAAAGATATTCGCCAAGAGTTCCGGGAGGATTTTGTGCTCACGGTGACTGGGAAGAAGCACCCATGCTGTGTATTGTCCAATCCTGACCAGAAGGGTAAGATTAGGAGAATTGACTGCCTGCGACAGGCTGACAAAGTCTGGCGTCTGGATCTAGTCATGGTGATCCTATTCAAAGGCATCCCCTTGGAAAGTACGGATGGAGAGCGACTCATGAAATCCCCACATTGCACAAATCCAGCACTTTGTGTCCAGCCACATCACATAACAGTATCAGTCAAGGAGCTTGATTTGTTTTTGGCATACTACGTGCAGGAACAAGGTAGGAAGCAGATTGTTGCATTTCTATGTTAGTATGTTGAACTCTGATTCTACATAGCCCTTTTTCTCCTAAGCAATGACTTCTGGTGAAATGTTCTGTGGTCTATATACACAATGTGGGTACATATGCATATGATGCATACAGTTGACATATATGTCATGTTCTCTTTCAAGAGACTAGGGCATACTAAGGAAGTACTTTAGGTTCTTTGAAGTTGCCATTTATGTCAGAGTGGCAGTATGTTGTATATTTTTCCAGTTAGTGTTTCAGAAAACATTATAGATCTCTTTCTCCAGTACTCTTAATAACAGATGCAGGTACATGCAATTGCACAGACATATAGGTAATATAAATATTTATTCTCACCTTTTTAACTACTAATATTCAACAATCCTTCCTTAAACTGATGAACCTACAATTGCTTTGAAGAGCAATTTTAAACTTTCTCATCATTATTAAACATGAAAATCTTTAGCAAAGAAATACTGCTTAATAAGTACCATAGCTATATATTTAGATTTACAGCATACGATATTTATGTTTTAGTCATATTTCACAACAGTATCTTACTTTATTACTTGTCTAAACTTTATTACAATTGGGATTTTGGTTGTATTTTCACCAAATAAATATTCAATGAAAATTATATTTTTCATAGTCACACTGCTATGCTTAACTTTATTTGAAAGATATTTAAATATGGAGAAGTACACTATGGAAAAGCTATTTAAGCTTAGTGTTATAGAATTAAAAGGAAATCAGCTGGTGATAATTTTTAATTGGGGAAAACCTGGTACATATTACAACATTAATTTGCAGGTCCTCTAAATCATAAATGGATGTAAGTTGATGAAGGCTCTCTCAAATACTGAGGCTCATGGAAAACTTTCTGAAAGGTCTTTTGGGTCTTCTCTGGTGATTGTGTCATCCTCTAGAAGTCTTTGCATTACTATGTGAGTCCACGCTAATAAATCATTTATTTCTTAGCTGCAAATCCAAACTAGGGAAAGTTTGAACTGCCACAGATGATGGGCCATTTCTCAAGTTGTCCTGGTAGTAGGCAGCAATGGCCTACAGGAGAGTGGGTGGCAAGCTGTTATCTGATGCTAAGGGATTTAACTGGAAAATTAACTGACTGGATTTTATTAGTGAAAAAGAAAAAAAAAAAAGTAAAATGGCACATCTTCATTTGGCCATTTTTTTCCCTTACTATCTATCTTATTATCTTTAAGCTGCTTTTGTGCTTGAAATATGTATATTTGAAATATAATTTTAAGACATAGCTTACTGATTAATTCTAACACATTTAGCTGTCTATGAAAGTCAAAACTACAAAGGGAAGCAAAATGGCTCAAGTAGCTCTTGAGCCAAAGAAACCAGGGTCAGGATACACTTAAACATTGTCAATTTTTTTTTTAAAGTTGGTGGAAGCCTGTAACTTGAAATGCGGAGTTGGGGTTGCAGGGTATTGCTTTTTTATTATTTTTTTATGAATTGACAATATGAGCTTATTCAAGAATTATCTAAATAGAAACGAAATAAGATAAGTATACTCTAATGTTATGACTTCATTATTATCTTCCAGTATATTTTTCTCAATAGCTCCTTGTAAATTTGGAAATAATGTTGGTTAATTTCTTTCTACCAAATTGTGCTTGGTTGACCCTCTTATATTGTAAACTGAATGTAATTTGTATATCTTGCTGCTTCATGATAAATCTTCTGTTTGCATCTGGTGGCTCTTTTGAAGAAGTCATATTAAGTTATCCTGGTATTTTTTTCTTCAATTATTTTCATATTTAATATTTTTCCTCAATTATTCTAATTGAAAGCAAGCTATTAATGGCACTTTGTAGTGTAGTGCACTTGATTAAGAACACCAGGCTTTGCAAAGGATAAGTATGAAGTCAGTCAAACTGCTGCAACTTTCACTTAATGTTTTGCTTTTTACTTCTCTCTCTGATATGATGTGGGTTTTTTTTTTTTTTTTTTTGCTTTAAAAAAGATTGGGGTGGGGGGAGAGAAGAGAAAGAATAGTTTGAGTGCCAAGGATGGCTGCCAGTGGCACCAGGAGTAATGTGGAGTACTGTTACAATATATTGATGACTTCTAAATCTAGAAGTGTCAATCCTTTTGATTCTTCATAAAAAGAGCTCCTACTTCCTTGTTTCTCTTGAAGGAAGAAATAAGGACCAGCCTGTCAAGTTTTGTCATTGATCAACTTACTTTTGTTCTCCTTTTTGCTCCTCAGAATTTAGCTTGTTTCTCCCTTTCTCTTACTACTATCCCCTTGTGTAGCAGGATCTTTAAAAACAAAAAAACCTTAAACCAGAAAACCACCCCCCCTCCAAAAAAAACCCCAAACAAAACAACAAAACCCCACCACCCAAGTGGTTTGACAGACTGCAATGCTGCTGATTTGATTGATTTGGAGGAAGAAGCAGTGATGTTTACATTGTGATCAACAATTCATTCATTAAAATAATTCTTAATGATACATTTCTATCAGGTTCTGCTTGTTCTACGTGTGTCTTCCCTCCTCCCTTAAAAAAACAAACAAACAAACTTGAAAATGCCATGATCGCTGTTTCTGTTGATAACACTTTTTTGGGGTGGGGGGGTGTGTCAGGGGTGTCAGGCATCAGACAGCCTCTATGTTATGAAATGCATAAATGCATCTCAGGTCATAAAATTATTTGATGGTATGCTGTGTTCTGTTGTTACAAGAACCATTTTGTTTGTCAAGTGCCAGGAAAGGAGGGGAAAAAAGGGCAGACAGCATGCTTGATGCCAATAATGGTTGCCAGTGGCACCAAGGTTGGCATCAAACCCTCTTTGTCTTGTTGCTGAATGCCTTTGATTGGTTGGTTGGCATCTGCATTGCAGTGGGCACATTAGAAAGTTTTTGACAATCACTGAATGAAAGCTGCAGTACTCTTTGCTTTAATAGAACCCAGCTAATATAAATCCCTTCTCCTTATTAGATGTTTTACCTAGTCTTATAATAGCTGACTTACACAAACAGCAATGCTTTTTTTAAAAAAAAAACAAACAATATCTACTGCAGTGTTTTTCATCTGCAGAATTCTTAATCCCTACATTATCCCTGCTGTTTTTCAACATAAATAAAATGCAAAACTGATGTTAGATATGTCAGCACATACTGAATTAAAGCATAGTGGACCTTGAAGTGTTTTGGGAGTCTAAAAGACTGAAGCAATGGTAAATGCACTGAACATTTGCAAGTGCTTTATATGTGTGCTCCTCTCAGTACATTTCTCAGATCACTCATGTTACTGCTGTTTGCACTCTCCTTTGTCCTCATCTAAGAGTGATATAATTAGAGGGAGCCTGCATCCCCTGCTATTAATAAAATCTGAAGTTGGGGGGACAATCTTTTAAACTATCCAAGAAAGAGTGGAAAATAGATACAGATCTGCTTAGTCTGGTAGTGTTCAGACACTCTTGAATTTTTAAGTTCTTGAACATCAAGATGCTGTGATGGTTCCAACTGCATGATTTTTGTTACCAGGAAATCAACAAAACAGCTAAATCACTTCTGTTGAAGTTTCCTAGAGGGTTAGTATTAATATTGCTTTATGGTTAACCACTGTTACCTCATTAATTAAGAAGAAGGATTAACAGCCCTACCCAAAGGAAGGAAGGAAGTCTAGCCTATGTGAGTTCCTGAATTGTCATGCTGTCTTGTCTGTTTGGGGGTAGGGGGGGCAGAGAGGTAGTGGGCTGGGTTTTCTGCAGAGTAGGTAGGGGAGAACTTTGAGTGCAAAGATTCATCTGTTGTACTGCTAAGAAGTTTACAGATCCCAAGAGACAGTGACTGCTCTGTGCTGGCACTGTGTACAAATCACATGAATTCAACAGTCTGAAGTTTAAACTAATTCAGGCTTGCTTTTTTTTTTTTTTTTTTGGTAATGTACTTCAAACTGTTATTAAGCGCATTTTCAGATAGTCTCAACTGAAGGACAAATTGACAAATTTTTATACCACATATGCATTGATTTTAAATTTATTTTTAGCCTAATTTAACACTGACAAATTGGTAAATCTTTTTTGAATGAGGGTATCGCTTTTTCACTTGGACACTCCTAGTAATGCATATGCATGGTCTTGCTATTAATAATATAACTTAGTTTCAAAAGAAATTAGAATTCTTTTTTAAACGTGATGCATCTGAATCATGCAAAGAACTAGTGAAATCTTAGTGGCTTATTGGCTCAATCTTTTTATTAAGTTTTTTTTTTTTTAAGAGTTTTCTGGATTTATTTTCTTTAAGGGAGCTCATTCTTCAACACGTTTGGGTAGTCATTCTTAAATTATACTGTGATTGATATTCCTAGTAAAAAAATGTAAAAATAGTATTTTTCTATATTTTAAAAGCATATATGAGATTTCTTTGGATGGCTAGTTCACTGTGAATATAAGCAGCTCTGTTTAAAAATCACATGCAAAATAATGTTCCAGAATAGTCATGTTATCCCCTCCCCATGTAGTTCATATAAGATTATGTTCAAAGATCCACGATACCCTCATGGACTTAGGACAAAGGTTTGCATTCCTCTTGCACATTGCTCTCATGTTTAACTAATGAAAATATTAGGCCTGGAAGGATTAATCAGTCCATTAAGTTGCTAACTGTCTCTACTTCCATTACCTTGAATGATTTGGCTCCTGAATACTTCATGTGGGAACCTTTAGTTGAAGATTTTACCCATTTCACAGAAGGGTACATCAAGGCACAATGTGATTTGTCAGAGTTCATGCAACTAATTGGTAGTTGACCTGGGAATGACAGAAAATTGTCCTCATTACTTTCTGCACCTATAGGAGTCTAAAAGCTTTAGAAGCTTGTCACATACTGAAATGACTTACTGGTGCCCTGTGTTAAAAGAAATCTCAGTTTTGAATCTTCCAATATAGAAGCAGAAGGATGAGTTTAATATTTTATCAGCTCTCATTTAAAAAGAGCTTTTTGTAATATA